ATGTAGGTGTGGGCACTATGTAGCTGTAATTTACACTTGTAAGTGTTTACTTTTAAAATATCAAACACTAACTTGCAAAGTAGTGAGTTTGCTTACGATATAAAGCGTCTGAACAGCAATGCATATAGGCCCATGACAATCTTTTTTACAAAAAAAAAAAAAAAAAAAAATCCCAAGAAATATTAATGACTGGGATGGGGAATCAGAAGGAGTCAGTCCCACTTGTTAAGGTAACCCTAACCAGCTGGATCCTGAATTCGGACTCTGGTGTCAGAAGACCTTGGGCTCAGCCTGAGCTCTGTCCCTCACTCGCCAGGTGCCCTGGAAGATGGCACTTGGGCTCTCTCAGTTTGTTTCTTCTGTTTAGGGTGAGGGTGATAGATTACACAGTCCCCTCCAGTCCTCATTGTCTGTTATCCTCGGTGTCTGTTAACCATGACACGTATATACCTGGTTAGAACACTCCAAAGGAAGCCAGGATTTGGAGTCCAAGCAGATCTGAAAGGTCAAGTAGTCAAAACATAGGAACACTTGCAGGAAATTTCTGTTTGTGGATAGATGTACAGAAAACCATTCCAAGACTGAAAGATCAGTCAAAAGGCAGAGCACAAATTGAAAATACTGCAAGAAGAGATCAATGCAGAATCCAAGGCCCACTAGAGGGGGAAGATCCATTACAGCAAGGGTCTGGGGAAGTCTGGAATATTTGGGGGTTTTTTCCTCCTTTGCTGTATCTTAGAAGAATCTCTAGCACACAGAGGTGTTAGCAAACATTGGTTGAATGAATAAATGAATCTAGGTTATCAGTTCAGGTGGGGGTCAGGCACGGAATCACTGAAGACCCACATAGCCAAAGTCTGCAAGTTTAGGAGCTGAGTTCTGGTTGGGGACAGAAGAGCTGGGTCAGAGTAGGCCTGACTAGATAACAGCTAGAGGGAATCTTTAGAGACCTTTGTAGTCCTGCCTGTGTTTCTGGGAGATCAGTCCTGTGGCATTACTGTGTACAGGCACTGCACTTTATAGCTGTACTGGCCACAGAGGGCTGCTGCATGGCAGCCAGGGGGAGCATTACATGGAGACAGCAGGTTCTGAGCTGGTGGGAAGGCAGCATGGAGGGAGGTGAGGACCTGTGCTCAAGCATCAGTAAACAGGCCGGTTAAGTGGATGGTACCAGTGTTGGAGCAGCACCAGCATCTTTAGGTGTGAAATTCTACAGCTTGCCTGAGAGATTACTGCATTTCAGGAGATTGGAGACTGAACTTACTTAATAGCCCATTTTTATATATTAAGTTGGGCTATATGTATTCTATATGTATTAAAAATGGGTTATATATGTCAGTTATATCAATAAAACTGGAAAAATACATTAAAATGGGTTATTTGCTAAAATGGATAAGAAAGAATAATTTTAAGGCTTAGTTTTCAACACCATTATACTTTACTAATTTTCCAGGTGTTTTTCATTATGATTTCATTATGATTCTCTTTATTATATAGACAAACAAGTCGAGTTAAATATTTTCTCCCCTCCATCTTCCTTGGCTTGGTCGGGTCACCTCAGCTTCTCCCGGTGTCCTTCAGTGCATCCAGCACCAGGTCATAGGGTGGCATCAGACTCTCTGCTTTTAGTACAGTTAGTAGCTAAGTATTGAAACAGAAAGTAAGAAGAAGACCATAAAGAGACGTACAGGTATCTGGAAGTCAAGGTAGTGGCGTAGGCAGACTCTGAACTCACCTCCTCCCGCGGACACAGCCAATTTACAACTACTTGTGGAAAAATTACCCCTGAGAGAGAACTGAAAACTGGATAAGAGGAACTCCAGCAACAAACGACAATCCTAATTGAGGTGGAAGAGGCGGAAATTCCCTTC